CTCTCTCTCTCTCTCTCTTTAGTTTAGTCACTTACTGTATGTGATATACAACATGTGTGATAGAAAAATATCCAGTGAAGCAATAAAAGACAAATATAATTATATCGTTGACAATACAAAACAAAAAAAAACGTATGTTGTAGCAAAGAGTGTATCTGTCTAGTTGTTTATTGCAACAACTCTATGGACTAGTTGTAAGAAAGTACCAAACAGAAAAAAAGAGAAATTTCTATTATCGTATTGTGAATAGGTCAGTGAAAGAAGAGCGGACATATACCGACATATGCGCACGTAGGATAAGGAGGATAAAAGCATAGCGTAACGAACCGATTATCATCCACCCGGCAAATTGCATTAAGTACGCGTCTCTATGTCATAATCATCGAAATTCATGATTTGTTCTACTTGTCGAAATTCCTCTCAAGCAAAAAAAATACCAATAAACAAATCAAGGACAATGATATTTTAAAAAGTTCGCGTTGACAGACCTTTCATTGTAACTGTAAATTACACTGTCCATCATCCGAAAATTCCTTCATTACTTAACAACTGCGTAATAAGAAAAAAACCAGTGTTGATATATATATATATATATATATGCCCGTCATCAATTCTCTTTCAATGACGTTGACAATGATGAGATATAGTGTAGCAGTACATTACTGTAAACGATGGATAATATAACGCATAGACTATCCTATCAATAACACAGTAAAGAAATATCCATTCGTCGAAAAAGGAAAACTTTGTTCTAAAGTAAAAACTTCTATACATTACAAATACTCATATCGTTCTGTTTGTGTATATTGTCAGATGTTGAGATGAACAAATAACAAGGCTGTTATATGCACTTACTAATGGAAATGTAAATGTCATTTACTCTATTGTACAGTCATCTTTTTCTTTTTTTTTGTAGTTGCATCATATCTTGGATGCATAATCAACACTTAGATGATCAGTATCGCTTTTCTGATAAGCAATCAATGTTCGATATGACAAAACGACAATTGTTGTTTTCTTTTTCTTTTCTATACTTATTGTCTAACTATTGATATGATCTAGTCTATTGGCAACAATATGGTTGGTAAGACTGAAACAACAATAAATCGGACTGATACCGATTGTTGATCTACTTGAATATTGACATATGATTAGAGAAAAAGAGAAAGAGCGAGAGAGAAAACATGCATACGTATATATTTTTATTCCAATATTATTCACTATTAGTAAGTAATATTCAGTAATCCATTGCAATTGATTTCAATAGCCATTTTATTTCTTTTGTATGAAAATGGATGAGAAAGTATGCATAGTTTTGTTGTTATTTCGTTTAAAGTATCTGATATTTATTGTATATTTTTATATTGAATATATGTTATTTGATCTATTAAGTGTCTCCTATTTGTACTATGGCCTTGAATAAAAAAAGAAACGGAAAGCATTAAAAAAAAAACAGAGAAACGTCAAAAGCTTTCTGTCTACTCCTGTATACGATTACGTGTATGCCTGCGCATTCTTCATTCATTTTAGTAAGATTTCGTCCCTCAGCTCGAGTGTCGCCATCGTTTGTGTGCAATGCGTAAGAAAAAGAAGAGGACAAAAACGAAATTAGGACATGTATACACATGCCTACATCAAGCATATGTGTGTGTATGTGAGAGAGAGAAGCAGAGAGTACAAAGGCACGAAAAGAAAAGAGACAGCGAAAAAAAGATTGCATTAGTGTAAGTCGTGCATTCGAATATGCGTACGTAAAAAAAAAAAAGGAAGAACAGAACAAACGCTGTAAGCGACTGGTGCAAACATTTTGGGTGTAGTATGCACACGCATTTCATTTTAAGAACATATTTTCTCTTTCTCTCGTTTTTTCTCTCTTCATATGTGTAGAGTCGAAATTTTGTTAGTTGTAATGGTAATTGTCGTAAGATCAGCTGTTCGCATATTTCATATAAGGATTAGTTTAGATCTTTCGTTGTTCTTATTCAATCTTTCAATTAATAGCAACTTTTTTTCTGAACATCATCGATATGTAGATATATCCAGTAACTATTGTCTACGGTTATTTTTTTTTTCTTTTTTGTTACAAAATATATAGAGAAGGCAAATCGAGAAAGAGAGGCGGAGAGAGAGAGAGAGTAAGAAAAAAAACAGCGAATAACTATAAAGTGTCTTTGTGTTACTTTTTTCGTATGTTTGTCACCACCTTAGCATTTGTGCGTAAGCAAGAAAGAGTAGCGCAAGATGCAAAAGCAATTACAACCAAGGAGAGCGAGCGAAGAAGAAAGAAGCTCGAAGGCCATGGTCTCTATATTTGCAAACGCAAGTATCGTAGTAAGATATCTCCATAGCCAAAAAAAAGAGAGAGGGAGAAAGAAAGAGAGAGAGAAGCAAAGGAGTCGTTGCCTTTGTCGCGCGCGACTATTTGTATTGTCATTACGATTATAGTTCTGATAGGCGACAGTAGTATCCTTGCACGAAAAATAAAAAGTTTTTGACGATATTCAACCAATCAGGTGAGTACAGATATGTACATATATATATATGTTAATATATATATTAATAAATATTGTTTATAAAAATATTTCCATTGATCGTCACATGGCTTACTGATCAGTCATAAATGGAAATAAACTTTTATCTGACAGTTTAGCCGTGTATGGATCTGAGGAAATTATTCATCGCATAATATTTATGATTTTTAGAAGAATACAATATAAAATATTATTTATAATGTAAAAAGAAAAAACAACTTTGCTGTTAATATGTTGATAAATTTAAATAATTCTGCTTTGCTTAAATTATTAACACAAATAAAAAAATTTACAGACAATTACAATATATAAAATACTATTGGCTATAAATATTTATTCGTTCAATTGACTTTGCTTACGAAACACAAAATTAAAATAGTATATTCCAACGAATGTCAAGCTATATTTGACTGCGAACATGTATTGTTTTTTTTTCATTATTTAATAAAAGAACAACTAAAAAATGACATTTAGATTATTCTAAAGTAAAGTGCATACTTTAATAATGATAGAAATCTTGACATTGAACATTTTAGTAATTTCAAATGTTGTATTGCACATTGGATACATCTAAAGTTTTGCTTACAAATTTCCATAAGTAACTAAATTTTTATAAATAGTTCGATCGAAAAAAAAAACATTTTGTTCAAGGACACCGTCAAAATATGGATGTTTCGAATAAATCAATAACTTGGCATCTTCATTGAGTAAACGAAAAATGTTTTTTATAACAAATATAAAATATAAAATCATGAAATTGAACTAAATACTCAGAAAAAAATCAGACGAATGAACAAGTTTTCATGTTTATCTACGTTCCAAAGTTTCAGACAGATGATATCGATAAATCTCTTATCATTCATATGTATAAGTTGTCTATTAAAAATGTTCAGCATCTTTATTTCTTTCGTTTTGACTCAGGTCATTAGTGATAACAATATAAAGAACAAAGCTCATTCAAACGAATGTTAACTTACAATATTAAATACATGTAAACAAAAAGAAAAAAAAACCTATGTTGTATAATAGATAATATTTCTTTCCGAATGAAACGGATATGCTTTGATAAGACAACAGATAAAAAGAAGCATCATATATTAAAAATTGTAATCATGATTTTTTTCAAATTGGTTTTTTCTTCTCAACCATGCTACGTATACTATTTGTTGGTGTGTTTATATTATGTTGTATTATTGAGACTCAAGATGCTGTATTTACAAATGGTCGTCCATTACAGGACGTAAGAATGATATATTATTAGTATTTTTGTATTAGAAAAAAAAAACTTTTTCGAAATATTTAGGTTATTGATGAAACAATTAATAAAGCTATGGCGAAAATGTCAAAAAAATTACAATCTAAATTAGATGTATTAAAAGATAGTAAAACTGCAATGAGATTATGGAAAATGTATAAAAAATATTATAAAAAAAATTATTCAACACCTGAAGAAGAAAAAGAACGTTTGGGAAAATTTATTGATAATTTAAAATTAATTATAGACGAAAATTTTCGTTTTGATAAAGGTTTAAAATCGTTCAAATTACAATTAAATCAATTTGGTGATATGAGTTTAGATGAATTTCGTCAAAAATTAACTGGTTTAAATCCAGATGGTCAAGGTGAAAAACCACCTGGTGAGGTTGTAGAAGAAAATACAAATCAACGTATTCGACGGTTTTTAATGGATTCCTTACAAAAGAAAATTAAAAAAAAAATTAAAGATAAATTAACGCCGGGAAGAAAACCTAGTAGGGGTTCAAGTACATATTATCGACCAGGATATCATCGACCAGGATATTATCCACCTTCATATTATCCATCAGGAGGTACACGTATAAATACAGCTACTAAACGACCAGGAAGTGTTTTAACAAAAGCAGCTGTTGATTATCGAGAACATATGAATCCAGTAGAAAATCAAGGTCGTTGTGGGTTAGTTTTTCTTTTGTTTTATTCTAAATAAAATCTTCTTCTTTGTCTATCTATAGAGCATGTTATGCATTTGCTGTTACAGCAGCTATTGAAGGTACACATGCATTAAAAACGGGCCAAAGAATTAAATTATCAAAACAACAATTAGTTGATTGTTCCCCAAATAATGGTTGTTCAGGTGGTTATTTAGGTACTACATATGATTATATAAAACAACGTGGTGGTCTTCAACCTGATTCAACTTATCCATATGCCAGTTCTCGACGAGTATGTAGTTTAAAATCAACAAAAGTTGGACCTATAAAAGGTTATGGAAATACGCAACGTGGTGATGAAGAAGGTATGAAACAAGCATTAAGTACTTATGGACCATTAGCTGGAGCTATTCATACAACATCAGATTTACAATTCTATGGTGGATCAAAAAGTGGACGTGGATCAGATATAATTGATATATCAGGTTGTTCAAAACAGGTCGATCATGCTATTACTATTGTTGGATATGGAACAGAAAATGGAAAAGATTATTGGTGTATGTTATTTAATTTTTTGAATACATGAATATTTTATTTGATATTTTTTGTTTTTTAGTGGTTCGAAATTCATGGGGTAGTAATTGGGGTTTAAATGGTTATTTTAAAATAGCACGTAATAAGAATAGCATGTGTGGAATCGGAACATATGGTTATTATGCTATCGTTTAGTTTAGTATTTTCCTATATTTTTCTGTCATAATCAGTTGTTCTTGTGCCATTAAATAATTTTCTTTATCTTCGATTATAATAAAAATATCCTTTTTCTTTTCTTTAAAATAGACATAAGTCGATATTCTGAGACCTATTCTGTCTAAATTATTTTTAATTCTGGAAATTAGACAAGATTTTTGTCTGATTTTGAAGATAAATGTCAATACACTTTTTATTTATTTATTTATTTTTACACGAATACATTTAATAGTTCTCATGTTCAATTAAATCAACCATAGATTTACTTTTCAAAAAAAAAACATGTATTGCATATCAATACTGAATAAATGAAAATATTTCATATAGTAAAGATGTATCTCTTGATACATATGAATGGATCAAATTATAGTTGATTTTAAAATTTTTATGAACAATTAATTAGTGACAGATCAATCATCATCGACTTTTAGTAGTAAATATAAAAAAGATAAATTATAACAAAAAGAAATGGATTTTTAATATAAATACAATATTCTAATCATTTTTATTTCTTTGTTTTTATCATTTATTTTTTCTGTGAAATGCGATTTAAAAGGGGTATTAAAGTATAGGGGTAATAATTTGAACCCCCACCTACACAGATCATGACAGACGTGAATCAGAAAACATCACAGATCTTATATCAATACAGTCTCAGACTAATGTGCGAACTACTTCCTTATTACATTTC